TGTAAAACCAAAGGAGGGTTAAACAACATATACCAACCCCCAAAGTGATCTTTCAATTAATTTAAACTGAATGAAAAAAAGATTGATTGGAAAGGCAGAATAAAATACCAAGACTGCTGCAAAGTGCCTTCAGGCCACAGTGGCCTGAAACATATGCATATCAAAAGAGTTGTGAAGGCCTTGTGTTTTGACCTTATGTGTAGCAGAATCTTTCTCCAAGGCAAAAGAGAGACAGATTCTTCTAGGATTGAAATGTCAGGCCCTGTAACTTTTTCAAGAAAGTAATGACGATTTTTGGACCTACCTTCAATTCCGAGGGGAATGAATGTCATTTAATTTGGAATACCTCAGTATTTATTTCCATATTGCAAAGTATTTTGTTGAATTATACAAGTCAATAAACAAATGATTTTTGACAAAATACAAGAGTAATGATTCAGACACAAATGAGAAGAAAAGGGACAATAAGGGAGGCATATTCAGAAGACAAAGTCTAAATATAGAACTGGCTTATTAAGACAAGAAACTAGACTGACAACAAACAACAAATTATTCTGAAAAGACAATGAGAAACAAACAATGAAAAGTGAAACAACAGGTGACCTACATTGCCTGTTGATTTGCCAAAAATATAAATAAACAGAATTAATGTCATGCAACTAATCATGATATGTTTGTGCATGTACATTCCACAGGTTGTCAGAATGCTGTTGAAATTGCTTGAAGATAAAAACGGGGAGGTGCAAAATCTTGCAGTCAAATGGTAATTTTCCATGTCGTGTTGATCAAATTGCCTTGCCTTGCCATGTGATATTTCTTTTCTCTCTGTGCTAAACGAGCTCCCATTTCCTACCTTGTCCTTCACACTGTGAATGTACATATGGGGACCAGTAGTGGACATTGAAATGGGGAGGAATTCCTCCATGTTTTGTATTAAGAAATTAGGATGTAACTGTTCCCGTAGTGCGGTGTGCAGTTAAGCAAGTTACTGTGCTGATCAGATATTCTGTATTTTCCTCCTAGCAAGTGAACATAAGTTCAGCGGATATTGGTCATGCATTCTGGTAAATGAGCCACAGCATTGCTGGTGATATCAACCCTTTCCTCTAAGCCTTTTTACTGGGAAACATTCTCGGTCCTCCAAAATCCTCTGATTTTCGACATGAAAAAAAATTGCATTCAGCCTCTATCCTCCAAAAACCTCCTGAAAATGTTATTTGGAGGTGTGCCCACTGCCTCAATCCTTCAAAATCTTCCGGCAATTCTCGTCATTATGTTTAGCAGTGTGAATGGCATTCTTGAGCAGTGTGGTTGATTGAGAAGAAATATCGGGCTGAATTCGTGCATGACTGAGCAAGAACAACACAAGGTCTAACCCACGACCTTCACTTATGGCATCCTTCACAATCAGCCATGCACTTTGCCATTCACCTTCAATCTTCCAAAATCCTTCAAAACCACCCAAAGGATTTTAAAGGATTGAGGAGGGTTGGGGTGATTTAATTTAATTGCCAAAACTTGCCATAGGACATGATCAGACACATTTGACAGGAAAAACATTTATAACGCCATGAATAATCTTGCACTAACCATGGACTTAACATCCCCTGGATTTCAGAGTGCATCTGCCCATGTGATGCCAATCACGTCATCAGCAGACACATGAGAAGAATATATTTGTCAGCAGAAATATGTTACACACAAGGGCCAATAGAAGCATCGCATTAGGACTAGCTGTGATTTCCTATAATTCTTCAGTGGGATGGGACCAGTCTCTCTCTGCCTGTAGCTGCACATGTGTTCTTCAGTCACTGTTGAATGTACATGTAGAACATTGGTCATACACAGCGGTAGAGGATAACGTGCAGTCTAGTGGGAGACTTCGTGATGCATGATGGCAGCATACATAAAGCGTTTTCTAAACAAGTGGATTCGGCTTAGACTAAACTTTTTGCTGGTTTCGGTCAGAGCTTGAACATGTGGTTTTGAACGCTGTTTGAAAATGGCTGGAACCAGCGAAACCAAAGTCTAAGCCGAATCCACTCGTTTTGAAAACGCTCATAGTACACATGCATTTTTGCGTCACGGCCTCACATGACCCATGCACACTCGCCTGCGTCGTGCTTGAGCTAAATGCCCACCTGCTGAAAATGACATAAAACAATAACAGACTGGTTAGGTGGGACCAGCGTGTTTGCTGCCACCAAGTGTCTCAAAAGTAGCCCATTGTTGGCGAAACCTTTTTACCAGTGATCCGTTGCATCAGCATTTTGTTCACTGGAGAAGAGTGGGTTCTTTTCATTCCTTTGTGTGGTATAACACACCACCTGTGCTTGTAATGAATGTAATAACAGGATACGCATGATGCACATATACATGTATGCAATGCAAGAGGACACTTTTTTGTCTGTTTGTTGCAGTCTCGGTCCACTGGTTTCCAAGGTGAAGGAGTATCAAGTTGAAACCATCGTGGATAATCTGTGTAACAACATGCTTTCAGAGAAGGAGCAGCTGCGGGATATATCCAGCATTGGTATGTCTGCTGCATTCTGGAAACATTTCAGGAGATTATGACATTAAGAAGTATTTGGTTTTTTTTCCCCATTTTTCTTGGTATCTGATGAATCCACATTGTGCGGGCCTCACACAAGATGGTTTGAAATTAGCAAAGTTGGTTTGTATTTTTTCCGACTATGGCATGTTGTTTCTGGACTGTTGCACTGCGTTTTTCGTTGTTGTGCCCCATTCTGCCAATATCCACTCCAAATGGGAACAAAAGAGGGCGTATTTTGAAGTAGCAGGGATGTCCTTAAGTGGAAACTCACTGCGTCTGCATGCAGGTTCGTGCCTGAATGTACGGTCTCCTCGTTGGCACTGGCACCAGCGTGAACTGGCTCGAAAAACTTCCCACCGGCCTGTCTCTTCTTTGCCGGTGAGGGCGCACTTCGGCTCAAGGAGGGGATACCACTCACAATACGACACAATGGGAGAGAATGTAATGGTTTCTTGTCATATTTCTGTTCTTTGATTGTGTCAGGTCTGAAGACGGTGATTAACGAACTGCCTCCCGCGTCCAGCCCGCTGGCCGCCAATATCTGTAAGAGCATTACAGGACGGTTGACCAATGCAATAGCCAAGGTAAGTATCCAAATATTACCCGTAATATCGTAGGTTTCTTCAATCTTTGTGTTGTTGGGCCCCAGTTCTTCCAATATCCGCTCTGAATGAGAACAAGAGAGGGGGGTCCGGTTGTCTTTAAGGATTTCTCCAGATAAACTTCGTAAGCGTCTCACTCCCATTTTGTGTGACATAGTTTATAGCGCGTTAGGAGTGTCTGTTGTGGATGTTGTCTGACTTTAGAATTCTACGGCAAGTTCTTCTTTCCTGCGTTTGTTCCCTGGTTTAAATAGAATGTGTCGCAGGAACTGAGTGTTTCACTCAAGAGGAGCCAGATGGTCTTTGATGGTGTTATTTTGGCACACATAAAGTTCACACTTTCCTGTGTTGAAAATTCCCATCCTTGAAAACTTAACTAACAACTCCCACTAAAAAAAGCTTGATTTCTCAGCATACAGACATTCACCAGTGCCTGGTGTACATCTAGGAATTCATGGCTGTGCCGAATATGATGGTTCCCTGTCTTGTGTGCAGCAGCCATGACAATGGCATTGGGTTTATTCATACTGAGCTCTGGCAGTAAAGTACTCTTGACATAGCTCAGAGGGCATCTGTTCAATCTCTGGCCCATGTGGTGTTTCCAGACCTACTTTGCAGGGCAGTGTACACTCTACATGTATGTCTGTGCACGTTTAATGTACATGTTTAGTATGTTATTGTTACCTTGATGGCATGGAGCTGAGCGAGTGAACGCATTACAACAATGTCACAGCCACTGCTGCAGATACCCAATCTCCATTGGTCAACAGGGCTCCTTTCCCCTGTGTAAATAATTCTTTGAAGTTGACAAGTATTTACACTATTGGAATGTAATTGTTAAGTCACATCATGTTTCTTTTTTATGGCTCAGCAAGAAGATGTGTCTGTCAAATTAGAGGCTTTGGATATACTAGGAGATCTTCTCATCCGATTCGGAGGTAGGTGCTTTACTTTTCCTTGGATTACTGTGATAATAAATAAACAGAATGAATAGGCATTATCACATTCAAGCCATCAACACAGAGTGTTACTTAGATGTACACTGTTATGGTACATACCTTGTGAGCACGCTCAGTGTACTCCTAATAGTTGTTGATTACTATGATGTTGGACGCTGTTTTTAGACTCGAGAGTAAAAGGTTTCACATCACGGCAGTCGGTAAATGTTTTGTTCGATCATGTCAGTACGTTGAAACGATAAACGTAACATCTTAACCCCTTCATGGTGGGATTATTTTGACTGTGACTGCTGGGCTGTGGTATGCCCTGAATGGAGGGCTTTGTCCAGCAGCAGGCCCCATTGAACCAGCAGCTGCATGGTGAATAGACTCTATGTGTGGTATGCACTAATCCTCACACAAAGGTGGGTAGTAGCAGTCTTCCGTAGCGAAGGGGTTAATGCTGCATCAACTGAATAGGTTCATTTAATGTTTGATTACTGTGAGCTTTCTTGTCAGACACACTATTGAAATTTTCCATTATGCTATGATGTGGGGCCTATATAACATCAAGTGGTTAGTTTTCAACGCAAGGCAGTTTATCACAAGTGATCTGATGCACTAGTCTTATCTCATAAAGACTGGTTTGCCTGATAAACAAAAACCCAAGAAAGAAACAGCGTACTGGCAAAGTTTGTTGACAGTGTAGCACCCACAGAGATGAGAAGGATCTTTGCAATACGCATGCATGTTTGTGTGTACATTTCATTTATTTTTGGTAAGACTCTTGAAAAATCTGAAAGGAATGCCGTGGCCAGTTTACGCTGGATTTTCTCACCCGAAAAAGCTGCCGGGGCTGGGTTTTTTCCCTGCAAATTCTTCGAAATTGCAATTTATTTATGACACAACCAAGCACAACGCATTAATACATCAACCGCGGAAATGAACAAAAAAGTCTGAAACGAGTGCGCACGTCCTCTGTGGAACAAATAAGGAAAACTGTGTGTGTTTACACGTCATCGGACGTCAAGCGGTTAAGGGCCTTGGATAAGTTCCGCCTGAAATACACAAAAGATGGCAATCAAGATACTTGACATCAGCCACTTGGCGGAGTAGTGCCCAAAACACTGCTTCGATACAGCAAAGTTTATTTCTGCATTAATACACGTGCATCTACATGGACAGAGATGTCGCTTACCTGAACCCAGGAGGTTTAACAACCATTTGCATTTTCAGATCGGTGAAATACATGGAATGAATTTGCAGCGATACTTCCCTTGCCTTTCAGGATTGTTGATGAGCTTCCACTCTGCAATACAGAGTGCTCTCCTGCCTCAGCTGAACAGTCCTAGGATGGCTGTACGTAAGAGAGCTATCCTAGCGCTAGGTGTGTATGTTCATGTACAACAGTGTGTAGTATTCCAAATAACTTTATCTCTCAGCTTCATAAAATACATTTATTAAAGCATCCTGTAGGTGTTAAATCTTTTAGGAGTTTGTTTTTGATTGGTTTTTATATATTTGAATTTTGCTTTTGGTCACTTTCCACAGGAATAAAAAAAACCCAAATCATAAATGACCACAGCTATGGAAAAATATATCAAATCTTCCTTCAAAATTATAGATAAGTTTGGTAGGCTTGCGGTGGCACCATGTACAAGAAAATATCTCTTTTCAGAGTGTGGGGGATATCTAGTTCTTCTCAGAACCACACACTCATAAAAGAGATATTTTCTTATACATGGTGCAACCGCAAGCCTAACGTAATTTAGTACTTCCACCATGCATAGCTTCAAGTCTTATCTAAATGATAGATTTTGCTCATGAATATGGAAACACATGTAAGTTTCAACATAAAAATCGGAAAGGTCCCCAAACGCAGTATAAAATATAAGAGTACTGGAAATGGAGTTAAATTGGTTACCTTCGCGCATTCAAAGGTTCACTGGAACGCGAAAGTTTTGCAGGGGGCCTTTTATCCTTAACCAGATGAAATCAAGCAAATCTCTGAGATTTACACTGTACTGTAAGGGTTAGGGTAAAATTCTGGCCTTCTTTTTGAAAGCATTTTTGTCTTTGATTTTGGCTCATAGGCCATTTGGTCATGAGCAGCAGCAATAAGCTGTTCGCCGATCTGATGGAGTTCCTTATGAACGAGCTCAGAGAAAACCAGAATCCATCCACTACCAGGACATACATTCAGTGTATTGGTGCTATCAGGTATGTATACAAGCTGAAGTGAACTGCATTCATTGTGAAAACTTGAATAATGTTACTTGCTATGTCTAAATCAAGTTCACATATCTCCCCCGTGGGAGTGTGGTGTATTCCTTCATTTGTCTTACTGTGGCATCTCCTTGGTTACAGTCGCCATGCGGGTCACCGAGTAGGAGAACATTTGGAGAAGATAATGCCACTGGTTGTGAAATTCTGCAGGGTTGATGACGATGATGAACTACGTGAATACTGCATCCAGGTATATGATACATTTGAGGAACAAAAACACCTTACAAATATGAAACAAACTGAAACCATTTAAAGACATTTTATGGGATCATTGTAAACAAACTAAATCTGTGGTTTAACTTAAAATGAGCATTGAAATACCAGTACAGCAGTGAGAATTAAACCTAGAAAGTACATCAAATATCGCCACAAATTACCATATTAATTGCATAAAGATCCAGAAAGATGTCTCCAAAAAGTCAAACCCAGAGACTTGTCAAAAATTCTTCTCAAAAGGGTTCACACAAGTGGTTTGTTAATATGAAAGATCTTTTTGTTACAGGCAAGAATTAAAAAAAATACTGCTTGACTATCCTGGTCTACATGGCTGCTGACTTAAACTTGGGTCCTTGCCAAGTCTATTCCTTTAATTTGAACCCCACAAAGTGTACAACCAATATAAAAGTCTTTGCTAACTTAATCAATGGACTGATTTAGCATATATGCTGTAACTGTGCGTAGGGCTGTTCAGCATATTTGTGGTAAAAACCCCTTGTACATTCCCTCAACAGGCCTTTGAATCCTTTGTCAGACGTTGTCCAAAAGAAGTCTCCCAACATGTCTCAACGGTACGTATGCTTCAGGCGTTGCTTAGAGATTGTAAGCTGTTGAGTTGACTCAAGATACTCATTTGGCCTGAGCGTCATCTAAGTCGTTGTTTTTCGTACCTCTCACCACCACTGATCATAGTTTGTCCCACAGTCATACGCCCACAACATTGCCTCATGCTCTGTGACTAGGTGAAGTAAAGCCCGCGAAGAAGGCTCTTTCTATGAATAGTAAATTGTCTTGTCTTTAGTGTGAAGGATGATTTTATTGAAATTTTCATGAAAGTCCACGTGATTTGTTCGTCGTAATCATGGCATCAGTTCAGTGGAGGCATAGCAGTCGGCAACATACCTGGTTTGTTTTTCTTTGCCGATGTACCCCATCCCCCTGAATTTAACTCCATTTCATGCTGACACATTTGTTAAGCACAGCCGTCAGAGTATTTCTCTGCTCTTTCAGATCATTGAGTTGTGCCTGCAGTACATCTGCTATGATCCCAATTACAACTATGAGAGTGACGAGGATGAAGACGCCATGGATGCAGATGCCGAAGAGGAGGAAGAGGGGTGAGACTGTGTAGCAAGCTGCACACTGAAGCAGCGATACTGGTCGCTGCCGTATGGTCGCAGTGCAGACCACGAATTACCAGCAGCAACACCTGCTGGCTACTGTATGATTTTACCACAGCGCAGCGTTTTTGGTCAAAGTGACTTTTTTAATTCGCTTGTTGAGAAGCATTTATATGTCATGCTTTGTTGTAGGATCAGGAAGGGTTCTTCTCTGGACAGGTGTTGGTATCCAGAGACCTTCGTTTGCAAAGCCAATCGTCTACCTTGAAAGTTTATGCGATTAAAAATTCAGGTGAAGTGGCACACCAAGTGAAAAATAGGGGATTGTTTGTTGCAGCCAATCTCACAATACCAGTCTCAGTGCCAGATTTTCTTCAGAAAGATCAAAACGAGCTCTTGTTTTGATTGGCCTCTTGGAGAAATGGGCATTATTTGGGCGAAAAATGTTGAGGCTTTCCATTGCTTTACATTGTGCAAGATTCCTTGACATGTCTGCGACCCAAACCGGGTTCTGGCCAGTTGTGACTCAGTTTGTCAGGTTGGGTGACATAATGTGTAGGTCTTTTACTCGTTGTGCTCAATGTGTTGCATGTCGCACTTCACATGAATCATCAGTGTATTTGTCTTTGCAGAGAGTCGGATGATGAGTACAGTGATGATGATGATATGAGTTGGAAGGTACGCCGCTCTGCAGCTAAATGCTTAGAGGCAATCGTCGGCTCCAGACATGAAATGCTCAATGAGTTCTATCGGGCGGTCTCTCCAGCTCTTATTTCAAGATTTAAAGGTATAACCTTTGTGAAGTCAAGTGGCAGTCGTATGCTGCTCTCACAGATTATGATCGTCAATAATTTTTTATGCTAATAGTTGTATGTTTTATAAATTACTCCAAAAGAGACATTTTTTCAGTACACAGAGTTATAAATATTACTGTAGTTTGTTATAAGTTTCTTTTTATATGACAGTCATAAAAATGAAACAGTTTGCTGTCTTTACCCTTGTCACATGTACTTTAATGCGGAATAGAGAACTTCTTAAATTGTTTTCAGAATTTACTTATTGTCTGAATCAAGAATTTTAGTTTTAAAACATTGGACAAAATTTGGTTGACCTTTGCAGTTTAAAGGAAAATGTATTGTGAGGTTCAAATATTCAAACCTCCATTCCTTGCTGAATTATTTTCTTGTATGGCCATTTTCATTTCCAAATGTTGTTGCAATGTAACCGTCTTCACTGATCAGATGATAATCAGCCTTTTAGGTTGAAGAATTTTTATTCCTTGAAGGATAAGAACGGAGATTTGCAGGTGTATTTCAACTGTGCAAAATGCCATATGCATTTATGCATTCCGACAGTCAACAGTGTGTGCATTGCAGTGGTCGCTTCTCTTTTCCATGTTGATATTTTTTCGTTTTCACAGAGCGTGAGGAAAATGTCAAGTCCGACATCTTTCATGCCTTCATAACCCTTCTCAAGCAGACCAAACCAATAGTGACTGGATTTTATGATCCAGACTCCATGGAACATGAGGAGGGGTCAGTGATTTCAATACTTCTTTGTTTTCTCTCTCTTGACTATCAGCTTGTTAATATTCCATTCTCAAGACTTTAAATCAACATCTCAGTTTGAAAAAAATTGATCTTATTTACATTTGTGATAATTATGTTTCTGTTTTTAATTTGATGACAAGGTGATGCACCCTCTATCTGTATAGAAATATGAAACCTATCTGACGTTCTGTCATCAATATGGAGGACGAAAAAAGACAAAAATTCGCATCAACAAAAATTGTGGTTTAAAATTAACATGCAAATACAACAATAAAGAAATTTTGGTATTCCACTACTACCACTTAACTGTGTGGAGTGGGGGACGGTATTTCATTGTGATTTTTAAAGGTACAGTCCATCATTTGCAGTTATCCAAAAAGCAGAGGACGAAATTGTTGAAAAGCATATTTGTGAAGTTACATGCGTTCCCTCTGGTAAACTGCTAATTTGGAAAAAAAAAAGCAATAAAAGAAGGCCATTTCCAACAGTGCGTCTGAAGATGTGTTTTTGGAAAATTGCAATCAGAAATGTGTTGATGCAACATGCATGCATGCGGTTATTATCATTCGTTGATTCAGTGTGTGACATCGCATAGCTGCATTGAGCTGAACATGAGAATAGGTCCCAGGTGCATAATTCAGGTGCAATTCAAAACACGACTCAGCAACTTTTGATCTGTAATTGAAATCCTAGAATATCATTTTTCTTGAAATATACAGTATTCAGTAAGTCTGCAACTTTATCAGGGTGGTTCTGAGACACCCCTCTTTTAAATGTTGAGGAAGTTTGTTGCCTCGAAGGAATATAATGCACAAATGACAAAGGATGGACTGTACCTTTAAGAATGCACCTTTGAAAATGTAGAAACTTCATTAATGCTGTTTCTAGTTGGAGAAAGCTAAGTGTTTAGTGTTCCAAAAGTTTCAGAGCTACTTCAGCCAAGGAGCTAACATTGTCATAAAATGCACAGAGATATTTTCAAAGAAACATCCGTGTAAATATGAATTGGTCACGGAGCAATTTTCCCCCAATTGACATTGTTACATATAGTAGCAATATTGAAGTAATATGCTTCAAACATGGCAGGGTAGACAATTTACATTTAGGGCCTTCCAGAAATTGTCATCATGACCTACCAATATGAAGGCAATGTGACGTGAGGCTAATTGTTGGACCACTTGGATGACCTGAGCCGTGGGCGCATTACACCCAGTACCCAAGCACACATCTTACAGTTTGCAAAAAGACATCCGGCCTCATGACTGTATTGCGACGGTGTCATTCATACATGGAGCTCATTGAATCCTTTGGAATCAAGCTAACATTGAATGGGTTTGATGCAACGGAAAGTTACCAGTTCACTTCACCAACTCATCGTTTTCTTCCTTTTGTCCCCACGCCTCCAACCAGGCCAATTTCAATGTTGAGGCTGCAGGTGCCAGACATTGTTCGGGCTTTGCACAAGCAGATGAGGGAGAAGAGTATCAAGACTCGTCAAGGCTGTTTCTCACTGCTGACTGAGTTGATTAGCGTCTCACCAGGTGCACTGGCAGAACACATCCCGGCCGTTATACCTGGCATACAGTTCTCACTGGGGTAAGCTACTCAGGATATGTCCGTTACAAAAAGCTCGTGTCACCCATGTCGCCCGGCTTAACGTTCACTTTTGTGCCTGAATCTGCCCAGGATTGAGTTCTCTTGTTGTCACAGTGTAATATATACTGGGGTTGGGCAATCTCCACTTTTAAGCAGATTTCCGCTTTTTCGTTGAAAATGCTGAATTTAATTTTCTGCTGTTTTTGCTATCGACGGGCCAGATTTCCTCATTTTTCTTCCTTCCGTAAGCACCAATTTTTCTGGTTTTGTTTTTCCCCATTTTCTATTGACACAATAGCCAGGCCAAACCATGCACGTCCTCTTTCCCACACCGAACCGTACAGGAGCATCGTAATGCATATGACTGAATCTACTGTACATGTACTCTGTACATGAACGTGTCTGCCCCGTACGTGTGTACAGTGTATATATATATATATATCTGTGTGCAGGCATGTATTCGGCGCAGAGCAAGCCTTGTGTGTAACAGCATCCTCGGACCATCCCATCATTGTGCAGTGATTGGCTGCCACTGAAATATCAATATTCATATATGTGTTAGTGGGACTCGTTACCGCCGTTCCTGCATGAGCAGAAGTAGTGACTAACAAGCTCCACTAGAACTCGTGGTAGCTTAAATTCATAGTAAATTTGCAGCTTGAGGTAAGGTCAGAAGATTTTCGCTTTTGCTGATAGAGGGCTCCATAACAGCTGGTGCAGGGTGCGCAAAGTTCTTCTTGTGTTGTGCATTGTCCCACAGTTTTGCATCGTTTTGTGTGGGCTTTCAACAAATTTTTGGACATAAACTCACTGAAATATCAGTGCAACACTTACTTACAATTGTCCAAAGAGGTTCTGACTTTGATACAGCCTTTGATAAGACCGATCCTCAAAATACAAATCCGTGGAAATGGACGTCAATGGGGTACACCATAGACTTGACGGGCAAGTAACACGATCCATGCCCGGAAATACAAAAGCCTGGACATGTGATGTAGGCTACGCGTGCAATGTGCATTATTTCAAGAACCGAAATTTTGAAAACATGCTCATATCAGTTGGAAAGAGAGCCATCTCACTCTACAAACCTCAATGGTTACAATTTTAGTATACCTATTACTAGTTCATTTAGAAAGATTCCACATACGGACAACACTTCATGCCTCTGTGCACAAACCTGTGAGACTTTTCTGAAAAATAAACCTTGTTTTCTAAGTAACTGCTTCGGAATTTTCTCTATTATTTTTCACTTTCTGACGGCTATTATAATATTATGCATCACAATGCATCTACATTTTAAAATTGAGCCCCCCCCTGTATATGCTTCGCTCTCGCGACTTCATCTATTTCAGCTATTTTTTTTATATTCCACTCACACCCCTGTATATAGACCCACGTGGACAGCGACCTCTGTAGCTTGGGAGTTCCCCTAGCAGATGTAATAAAGAGCAACCTTACTGTTGCATTACAAACAATGATGTTATGGCCTTTTGACGGTACATCTAACAAGTTTCTTCAAAAATTTCTTACATCATGCACAGCACAGGTGCTGCGTGCACGTGTTTGTGACGCATTGTGCCTTAATCATAGTTACCTTTCCGACACTGACGCTGCTAAAAGTCTTGATGGAAATCAGTGAAAACATAAATCAAAATTTTTGTCAACAAAAAGATTTCAATCTAATAGATGCCGTTGGAAGAGATAGGCGCTTTGCAAGTATTTACTGCAATGTTTAAGGGAAATCTTACTTATTAAAATGAGGTTAAGTAAATTCCAGTGACCGTGATAAGCCAGACATGTTTTGTTTCTGCTCGTTCTCACTAAAATGCAACTATCTTGAGACTGTTCCTAGATGATAGGGCTCAAGTGTCAACTTGAATAAATGCTGTAATACTCAGAAAAGTGTTTACTTACATTTTTGTGCTCCTGGCATAATTGTATGTTGACATTCTAGATCCAGCTGAAGATGGAAATATTTGTAAATGGTAGTTTTAGGCTATAAGGATGTGTCCCAGGGCTACGTCTAAGTTTCAAAGCATGTACAGTTGAAGCTTTAATTTTACCACCTAGATACTGTGCTGAAACTGAATGCGAAATTTGAACTAACTTACCTGGACTGCTCATGGACTGACACCTCATTCCATTCAACTTGTGTCTAGTGAGTGGAACAATCCCCTCGCAGTGGAACGAAAGAGGGCGTGTTTTTTTTAGTACTCACCGCATAGGCGCGCGCTTGTAATGGGATCAATGGCGCGTTTGACGCGGAGCACGCTGAGTGCGCGTAGCGCAAGAACCTGCTTGGAAAACTTACTACCATCTGTCTTTTTTATGCCGCTTGGGGGTGCACTTCAACTCGGGGCGGATACAGATTGGTTTCAATGTCTTGACAGATGTTGGCATATAATATCAATCAAGCAATGTCAAGTTACAAGTGTTGCACACTGGATTTGGTTTTCGTTGATGCTGTCGGGGAGATAAACTCCAGAATTTGGTTAAGAGTGTCTTCCGCAGAGGCAATCTTAATGATAACTATTCCTACCATGCAGGGACAAGAACAGCAGTTCCAATATGAAGATTGACACCTTGTCATTTCTCAACTGTCTGATGGTCAACCATAACCCTCAAGTTTTCCACCCCCATATGGCCGTCATTGTGCCCGTAAGTTCATCACATTTACATCCTCCACGCCTCCTCATGGGATGGTGTTTGTAGATAATCAAATTATTGGAGGGATTTTGAGGCATTGTTTTGGATTTAAGCATTGTTGACTTCCAATTGTTGATTCCTAGAGGTTAAATTAATCAGGGTTTGTGAGTTAGCACAGAAGAGCCATTTGCCTAAGAATTCATCCCCAGCTAACTACTAAAAGCCTTGAAAAGTCACTGTATTTTTTCAAACCTCTCTGTTAGTGGATTTCTAATCACCCCCAAAAATTTAACCCCTGCTACTGGGATTTCAAAAGGTACTCCTTTACTCCTATATTTTTTCATATTTTGCTACATTTGGACGTCTTGGGATTGGGCTTGGGTAGAGTGGGATTTGGAGGATCTGTGTCTTTGGGTGGCAGGAAGTTTCTCTGGCTGGACTGGTATGTCATGAAAATAATGATTAGGGGATAGGCCAACATAAGTCAGGTTGAGTAGCAGGTGTGTGTTACTGATATTCTTTAATGTTGATTCTTTTGTAAACGTGGTTTTTGGGAGGCCACTGTGAGATATTTTGGCTCTTGGCAGGTTGTGGAGAGAAACACCATTGAGGGGAGTTTAATGATAATATCAACAATCCAGTATTTTCTTGTCAGAGAAATGCTGTGGTCTGCAGCATTTTACAGGAAAGGGGTGGGAAGATTTCATGAGGGGTTTAATGAGGGAAAAATACAGGATCGTAGACGTTGATAATGCCATTATGTGGTATCAACCAAAGTTATACATCTGTAAGTTCAACCTGATATGTTTATTTCTAAAGAACTTTGTTTATGGTTGGAGAGAGGATTGATAGATATAAATGGCCCTACATTCTAGTAAGGCAGCAGGAACCATGAAGCCTGTTTGATTTTCTTCGATCGTACACAGCCCGTTGTGTCAGCAGTCGGGGATTCCTTCTACAAGATCACCTCAGAAGCTCTGTTGGTCACACAGACTATTGTCAAAGTCATCAAGCCACTCAGTAAGTAGCTGGCTGCCTGTATCAAGGAGACCAACTATTACCAATAGTGTTTGTTTTGGGGGGACGGGGGATCAGCCTTGGTCAATCAAATCATAAAGATAAACTGGTAAAGTTTAACTAGACATTTTTAATGTACGCAGTTGTCCAATAATTTTAATGGACCAAAATGCTGAAGACGTCTTGAGTGACACTTTTGTTCAGCGGTGAACAAAATGCACGTTGATAGCAAGCCATCGGTGTGCAGTATGTGATGAATAACCATTTGAGGAGACGGAGGCATTGAGAGGCTGGAAAGTGTGTCAGAAAATATGCGTCAAGTCTGAAACTAACCTAGGTTCTTATTTACATGTACACAGTGAGAGATGGATCTTCAGATATCTCGGTAAGGACATTGTAATATTCTTGCCTGCTGCCCTCTAGTCACTATGGTAACTGTAATAATGGCATTCTTGCTTGATAAAATATGCTTTGATTTTTGTTTTCGTTTTGTCCAGATTCAGAGGCAACATTTGACTATGGTCCATATGTATTGGATTTGTACAGCTGTACATTGATGAGACTGAAGGCTGCCGACATTGATCAAGAGGTCAAGGAGAGGGCCATCTCTTGCATGTGAGTCCCCAGCAGCATAATGACTCGTGCTGGGAGGGAGTTGACACACAGTCGGTTGTATGAACAAGACTACATGTATTTCTCATGAGCGTATGTAAAACTGTTCCCAAGGTGCATGTTCCAAAATGGTCAGTCAGTTTTGTACGTAAACATGAGCGCGTTGTTCCAGGGTTTACTGCAACCATATTTGTTAGAGTTCATCTGAACCTAAAGCTTTCTGAGATAATCCAGTTACTCAGTATCCGTGGGCTCATCATGGTTGAATGCATACTTGAGCTCAGTATTTATAGATGGAATTAAAAGTTTCTGTTCAAATTAAATTTGTAATGAGATACGTGTAAGCATCAAATACAGACTCTCCATTTTTTTTTGTCTTTTTTGTTATCAAAATCATTTTTTCTGGGAGCATCAATATTTCTTCCAGTCTATTTTGTAGAGACTGCTGACTTGTATGACACCCGTCTCGTCTCTCTTCCACCCTAGGGGCCAGGTGTTGTGCAATCTCGGTGATCATCTTCAGTCAGAGTTGAGCACCTGTCTTCCGATCTTCTTGGACCGTCTGAAGAATGAGATAACACGGCTGACCACTGTGAAGGCGCTGACAATGATTGCCGGCTCCCCTCTGAAGATTGACATCACGCCTATATTGGCAAGTGACCATTAGGTTGATCTTCACTGATACAATTTCATGAGCGGTTTACCCTTGTTACATACTTTGTGAGAGTTTGTAACCAAACTCAGGGGCTTGATTGGGACATGAGCCCAAGACTTGCTCACAGATTACAAATATCTAAACCGAGTCAGTTTACTGTTGAAAATGTTTTTTTCATTGGGGTATGCTAAATTTCCTGTAGGCTGTTGCCTTTCACCTACATAAAAATGTAATGTTGAGATTAACGTATCCCTCTGATGCTAATTTCCATTGACGATCACTGGCTTGCATTCTGCATGGTGTATATTATTACACTGCACAGTGGACATGAACATGGAAGGCTCATCAGTCAGGGCTTGGAACAGGTGCAGAATTGGATTATTAGGTGTTGAACCTGTTGCTAGTGCATGCTGTTTCTCCTATGTGTTTCAGGTAAAAGGAGTTCCGATCCTGGCGTCGTTCTTGCGCAAAAACCACAGAGCACTCAAGTTGTCCACTCTCACAGCTCTGGATATGCTTCTCCAGAACTATGGTTAGTCATCTCATCATACCTCAGTCGTCTTCACTGACTTGGATGGAATCAATCTTGAATCAAAGTGTTCCTGAAATAATTTAATGAGCTCTTATTTATGTTCCAAGAGTTGTGTCTGCTTTCTGCAATTTGAACGAGTTCATAAGAAGAGCAGAATCAATCATGCACTCGCTTGTCTCCAACCAGGATCGGCCCTTACGATGCCCATGGTGGACGGCATCTTGGCAGAGTTGCCCCCCCTTATCAGTGACAGTGACCTCCATATCTCCCAGTTGACCCTTCACCTGTTGACCTCGGTGTGCCGCGTTCACCCAACCAACGCTGCCAAGACCAGAGATGCCATCTTGCCCGCCATTCTGTCCTTGATCAAATCCCCCCTTCTGCAAGGTACTAAAATTCTGGACTTTTTATCCTTGATGGTGTTGCCAAAAAAACCCTGGTTGGGTGAATTGGGAGCAGTACTGTCACTGTGGTGAAAGTTTGGAGTGGTATAGTGTATGATATTGCTGTCGGTAAATTAAAGGCAGTTATTATTAGGGCTGAGTCAATTCGAATAATTCACCATTCCAATATTTGACCTTCAATTTGATCAAATACCCGAATATTCGGTTGTACCAACCGGCAGATTGTTGATGAACAAACCGTATACAAAGTCAATTGCAATAACGCACACAATTGTACATTATGATCAGTGAAATAGCTTCTCACATCTAGTTGTATCTCCAGCCACGATTTAGCAAGATTTAAGAGATGAACAATACTTCTTGCCCAGTTGAAAATTTCTATTCCTTTTAAATTGTTTAATGAATAATTTACTTTTTAAATCGTTGTAAGATTTCTGACACTCTTCATTTGAATCTGCGTGAAACAAGCCTCCATAGTGCAATTTTTCTCATTTAAGACAAAAGAAATTTTTCCTTTTCATAAATTTTGCATTTGAATATTCGAATTCGAAAAAATAATATTCGAATGTTTGATAATCGATCAAATATTCAGTTATTCGGCACATCCCCATTTGTTATCAAGAACAGCGTGTCCTTCAGTCCTTGTGTAATTGTGAACTATGCCGTACTGGGTTAACAGTCAACATAGTCCGTGTGAACAAAAGGTCTTTTGATAGAGTGGTAGAGCGCAATCACCTTTGCTGATTTTGTTATGGTCAATATTTTAAGGTGGTGCCCTTCATGCCATGCTTGAGTTCTTCCAGTCACTGGTGGCTACCAACACCCCTGGTCTGGGATTCCAAGGTCTACTACAGATGCTCTCTCTGCCTATCTACAGTCCCCCCGACACCCAGTCCCCATCCTATGCAGTACATAAGCAGGTAGTGTGGACGTTCTTTTGTTCTCTTGTGGTTCAGAACACTCGGAGAAAATGCTCTTTTTTTTCCCTCCCGCTGTGAGGACTCTTTCGCGCTGGATTTTTGAGTGTGATTTCCTGCGCCGTTCCTCGTCATTTAGCAACGAGTACCTCTGAACCCAAACTGCCTCCAAAGCCGTTCTTCAGAGAGGGGAAAACACTCTGTGGACGTGTGCAAGTCCTCACAGCGTCTTCTTACCCTACATTATGTGAACTGCTTTTGTTCAGAGACCCACTCTATGTATGCCATGCTTTGTTCAACTTGAATAGACCTCATTTCTGATTGCATGCCATTGGGTCTGGTTATGTGCAGCTCAACCGTCCTGTGTGCATATATGCTGATGAACTGAAGTGGTTTAGGTGTGATGACTCATAATCAATCTTAATCATTCTGTCTCACCATGCAGGCGTTTCACTCTATCGCGAAGTGTGTGGCTGCACTGACCATCTCCTGTGCATCTGAAGGTTCTATCGTTGTCAATCAGTTTGTCAATGATGTTAAGGTCTGTTGTGCTTTCATCATCAGATCTTGCCATTAAGGAGTTTGTTCAGGTTGAGGATCGGATTATATGTAATTCTTTTTTTCTCCTGGCATTGCATCATTTATATTTTTGTGTCAATTTCCAGTAATATAAAAAGTTTACGATTGCATCCACGAAAATTGGGGAGTCCAGTTTGTGTTGTGGTACTTTCCTCTCTTTCCACCTTCGGGATGGAGGTCAAAGTCCACTTCAAGCCTACATGTGGATTGACTATTTCAATCACTGTCTGATTCTGTGGGGTTTTACCTGGAATATTTAGCTTGTGGTTTGACTCCCACCCAGGGTGTCATTTATGATTGCTATATCTGCCTGTCCCCTCCCAGCAAAAGATCTGCCTGTCTCCTCCCAGCAAAGATCTGCCTGTCCCCTCCCAGCAAAGATCTGCCTGTCCCCTCCCAGCAAAGATCTGCCTGTCTCCTCCCA